GTTTTGCTTTTATACTCTAAGCACTGAGCACAGTGCCTGATACATAGCAGGCATTTAAAATGCTTATTGAGTTTTGCTCTGGATTTTTTTTTTTAGCAATTAGTACCCACAACGATGACATCACACCATCAATACATCCTAAACATGATGGAGCTTATCAGCTTTTAGAGGGTAAATTTTTATTTGTACGGCCAAGAATATGATTTTATCAAAATGGCTGCATCTGTTGTCACCACTGACCCACCCCGTTTTTAGCACTAACGGACAAGGCTGTCACGTTGTGGCTCCTGCACAGCTGATCAGATCTTTTCTTACCTTGGTGTGTACTAGCTTTCCAAACCTGGGCTTCACTGCGATGTTTCTCAAACCAATGATATCCATATTGGTCATGTGTCAAGAAGGTGACTGCCATGAAGTGAGAGCTGTATTGTATAGGAAAGTTTTCTAAAATCAGGAGGAAGGACCTATTTAGTCTCTTTGGAGCCTATTTTCACAAACAAGCAAAATGGAAAGAATGAGATGAACAAACTCTAGTAGGACTTTGGGTCCAGAAGGCACTTTTATTTATTCAAAAAAATATCCAAGGCACAACCAGACTCAAGCAGCATATTTCATCCAATAGATGGTGTCATTATGAACAAAAGTATTCTATTTGTAAAGAAGAGAGAGGCATAGAGGAAGAGGACTGATCTGCGAGTTAACCGGTTCTTAGTCCTGGGTGCTTAATCCTGGCTCTGCCCCTAATTTGCTTTGCAAATCACTTGATTTCTCTGAGTCCCAGTTTCTTCCCCTTTGAAAAAAAGCACGTTGTACTAGGTGACCCCCTAAGGTCCCTTCTAGCCCACATAGTCTATTCTATTCAAACCTATAGAATTACAATGATTAGTTTTCCCAAAGGTATGTTGAAAGAAGTAATATAGACATTGTTAAACTACTGTCTAAACTACATGCATGTTAGTCCTTTTATATGTTTATACTGCATAAACATATGTGATGATAACACAGGATAGTCACAAATTATCACATTCTATTGCAAACCTAAAAAACATCTTTTAGGTTTCATGCTACAAAAACTGGAGGATTTAGAAGGAGAGCCGCAGCTCAAACAGGGGACTGGCATAGTCACCAAAGCTCGGGAATTGAACTCTTGTCCTAGGGCTCTTGTCCTAGCTCATCCTTGGCTTGTCTATTTTTTCTCATCCCACCTTGGGAATGCAGCTCCTAGACCTCATACTACAAACCAGGAGACTCAAAAGGACAGCCGCAGCTCAAACAGGGCGCTGATGTAGTCCCCGTTCTCGGGATCTAGCTTCAGGGCTCTCTCATAGCATTCGATGGCTTGTCTCTTTTGTCCCTTCAGCTTGTGAATGAAACCCAGGGCCCCCCAGCTCTTTACATCAACGGCATTCTCATAGAGTCTCCGCGTGGCCAATCTCTGCAGAGCACTAATCAGTTTGGAGGTAATAGAAGACTCCACTTTGATTTTTACACCTTCTAAATAATGGTACATAGCTGCATCCTCAGATTTCCTGTGGGTCTCCTGAAAGCGGCCATAATGGAAATGGACCTGTTGCTTGTTCTCGTCCGTCACGTGCTGCAGGTGAAGGGCCTTCTGAAATACATCTTCTGCCTTTTCATACTGACCGGCCTCTGCGTACATGTTGGCTAGGTCTGTGTAGGCAAACACAAACATGGAGTTCTGCTCCATGGCTGCTCGAAAATGAAATATGGCAGACTGAATCAGCTCCCGTTTCTCTTTCTCTTTTTCCCTGGGTCGTTTTTTGGTCGACTGTTTCACAAGGATCATCAGAACTTTGTAGCAAACCCCTATCTGGTGATGCAAGAAAGCAGAAGTGGGTGTTGCCTGCAAGGCGATTTTTAGGAGCTGAAGAGCTTTACTGGGGGAGTTTTGTCTCCGGTAAAATTTCGCTGCATATCGAAGGACATAAGGCTGTGAGGACATCTTTTCCAAAGCCTCTCGAATGTACCGTTCTCCCTCAGCTTCCTGCTTTAGGTCTTGAAGCTTCAGGGCAAGTAGGGCCATGACAAATGTGTTGTCCGGATTCAGTTCCACTGCTCTCCGGAGAGGGTCCAGGGAGGATACCCTTTGGCAGGAATATTCCTTATCATCCAGACGATAGACTGCGATGGCAAAGCCAGAGTTGAACTCAGGGTTGTCGGGTTCTATTTTCAGGGCCTTCTCAAAACATGCCTTGGCCCTCTCATAATACTTCCTTCCACACTTTAGCAGAGCCCACCCCTCCTCACAGTAAACCTCGGGGCATTCTATCTTATAGCGGGAGGAATTGGGCAGCTTCCGGTAGCCTTTTTGCACCTTGTCTGCATAATACTGAGCTTTGGAAAATCTTTCCATGTAATAATACACCCAGGCAAAATTCCCCCAGGTAACAAGGCTTCTTATTTCCACTTGGTCAGCATGCTCCACCTGGATTCTCTCTTCTGCATGTTTTAAGCATCTCAGTGCCTCCTCATTTTGACCTTTCAGATGTTTTACATAGGCCAATAGGTTATAAAGGGTGACTTTGGATTTCATATCTAGGAATTCAATCTGGTCAATTATTGTGTCTTCCAGATTAAGTAGATCAATGTCTTCCTTCAGCAAGTTCCATGTAAAATGGCATTTCAGCTGCCTCAGAATAATTTTTAAGGAATTCCTAGGCATTTGACTGCAAAAGATAAAATCAATTTCAATTTAGAAGAACCAATGGAAATGACAAGGGATTAATAATTCCCCAAACAGTGAAATCTCTTATTTACAGTATCATGAGTTTCCCTGCCTTTCAAATAACAGCTTTTCCCACTGCTGTGGATCTGAACTGGTAACTAATAGGGTAATTTTCTGCCATCTGATGCTACTAGTAGTAGTAGCAGTAGTAGTAATAGTAGTAGTAGTAGTAGTATAGTAGTAGTAGTAGTAGTAGTAGTAGTAGTAGTAGTAGTTGCAGCAGCAGCAGCACCAGCACCAGCAGCAGCAATAGTTGCTGCAAGAGGACCTGAGTTCAAATCCCACAAGGTCTGTGATCTAGGCCAAATCCCTTCACTTGGACCTATATTTCTTCAACCATAATAAAATGACTCTAATAAAAGTACTCAACTCACAGGATTGTTGTGAGATTCAGATAAGATAATGTTGGTAAAGTGCTTCACAAACCTTAAAACTCAACTTAGATGCTATTTATTATTATTATTTCACTCTATCTGAGCTTATGTCACAAATGCACATGAAATCTGTGAAACAAAGGCCACTTTGCAAACTACAAATTAATGCTTTGGTCTTTTGGCAGGCGAGCTACTTAGAATTTCCCATAAAAAAGGCTAGTGACCTAAGCAGAGGAGGGATTGGTAATAATCTGCCTTTTAAAGAAGGCTCTCTCCGTTGCTTGGTATGGAGAAAATATCCATAATGATTCATTTACATAAGATATGGGCATGCAATGTGGTTTAATGTGTTTCATTACATGGAAGGAGTGTGTTGGCTCTGGAATCAAAGGTCTGGGGTTCAAATTTCAGCTTTGCCCCTTACTATGTGAACCTGGGGAAGTTACTTAGCTCCATTTTTCTCATCAGAAAAGGAGGTAAGTGGACTATATGGCTTCTCTGGTGCCTTTTAGCTCTGTATTTCTGATTCCATGTAAATATGATCCCTCAGCACAGGTTTAACAAAAATAGCCCAAACCCATGGCTCTTCTCTCCAATGATCTAAGCAGACTACCCAGATATAGTGCAAACCTGAAGGTATGGAAAAAGGTTAGTGCTGTAATCAAATAAAATTCGCAACACAATTAATGACACATTTATGGATGCCGATCATGGTTGAGTGATATGGTAATTAGGCACAGACCGTTAAACTCTTCAAGTAAATGACTGCAATGGCTCCTACTTTCAGTCAAACTAAGTATTTCTGGGGCCAGCTAAAGGAGGGCCATAGCTATTATAAGAGCCTATGTGATGGGCAAGTGACTTCTTCCTGGGCTCCAATATTTTACAAATGTAAAATGAGGGGAATCAGACCAGATGATCTCCATGATTCTATGGTATTTAAAGGTCCCTCTAAGGCCTTTGATATGGAATCTAGGGAGTCTTAATACTCTCCTTCTCTAGTAGGGTATGCAACTAGCCCAGATAGTTTAAGAACTCCTGAATGACAGGTGCACCTGTTCCTAGGTGTCAGGAACAAGGCAGGCTCCCAGAGCTTAAGGCAGAGTAGCACCTGCTAAATGTGGGGGTGAGGAGAAGACAAGGCATGGGGCCAAATTAGGGGTGACTTTACCTATAGGCAGGGTAAGTCAAATGATTTTTTTTTTGGTGAGGCATTTGGGGTTAAGTGACTTGCCCAGGGTCACAGCTAGTGAGTGTTATGTGTCTGAGGCTGGATTTGAACGCAGGTCCTCCTGGCTCCAGGGCCGGTGCTCTATCCACTGTGCCACTTAGCTGCCTTGTCAAATGGTAATTTAAGGGAAAATGGAAGACCCTAAATCCCAAACTTTCATATACATAGATGTATGTATATGTGCATATATGTATACATGAAAATTTATTATATAACTGTATAGATATATAGTGGATATATGAATGGATATATATATCTCCTGCATGAAACGTGAAATTATGCCAATTAAATATTCATGTGGGATAACAAACCAACCCCCTTGAGAGGAGGGGTAGGGTGGGGATGGTTGATGTCATTTAGGCAGCTTGAGTAATTCACAGCCTTTACTCAACATTCTTAAACAAATGAAATTGTGTTAAAAAGATGGACAGGAAGGGCAGCCTGATTTAGTTAAAAGTGGAATGTAGGAATAAGCAAGATGCCTGGTGTCTACTTCTTATCTGAATATTAGCTACATGTATAGCCCTGGGCAAAGGACATAATCTCTTTGGGTCTCCTTTTTGTGATCTATGAAATGGGAGTCCACTAGTGAATTTTAGGGCTAGAAGAGACCACAGAGATTATCTAATCCAACTTCTTCACTTTACAGATGAGGAAACCGAGGCACAGAGAAGTAAAAGGACTTGCTCAACCTCTGCCCAGTGAACTGAGAATCAAAGGAAAGAAACAAGCATTTATTAACTGCCTACTATATGCTAAACTCTTTACAAATATCTCATTTGATCTTTGAAGCAACCTTGGGAGGTAGGTGCTATTGTTAGCCCCTTCTTATAGTTGAGGAAACTGAGACAAACAGAGGTTAAGTGACTTGGTCAAGATCATACCTTAAGTATCCCCTGTACTTAGCATTGTGGCTGGCACGTAGTAGGTGCTTAATAAATGTTTATTGTGTTGTATTTTGCAGAGGAGCCAACCAAGGCCCAGAGAGGTTGAGTTGCACTAGGTTACACAGTAACTGGCAAAGCTGAAGTTCGAATCTAGGCTCTCTTGTTTCAGGGTTAGCACTGGGCACTATACCCTCCTCCTTTCATTTGATTAAATGTGTTGTCACATTGCATGCATAGTGTAAATTAGTGGCAGACCTCTCACTCATGGCCTGATACTCCCAGTTCAAAGATATTTCCTTTGCACCACCCTTTTGAATGGGTGGGTGGGGGGCCCTACAAAGGCAATAGGGCCCTGAGGGTAGAGGTACCTGGACTTGGAAAAAGGGCAGGGGTCCAGAAAGGGGAGAAAGGAGCATACTAATGACAAACTTTACTTGGAAATTTTGTCTGGAATGGGGCTGCTCCCACAGTCTCAGGGAAAGTGAAAGGGTTAACCATTAAATCATATATGGTGACCCAGAAAAGACCTTGAAATAAGGGGATTAAAGGCAGCAAGCAGGTGGGCACCACCCTAAATGTCCAGTTCACTTGGACAAACTCTTCTGTGACCCTGGAGACTACTGGAACCTTTCATAATTCTCAGGCAGTTGCAGAAGCAAGAATTTGGTCTGTGAGCAGGAGCCAAAGGGGTGGAGGGGGAGGGGAAGACAGAAGGAGGGAGAAAGGGGGAGGGGAGATAGTGGGGAGCAAAGATGCAATCTCCCCTCTCTAGCTATACACCCTTCCACCTACAAAGGATCAGGGCTTGGTGTAGGAGAGCAAACAGGCAGTGTGGAACTTGGCCCTACACTGCCTACGTGGGCAGGATTTCAGGATTTTGACCTCCCTTCTAGCAGTCTCCTGGAACAGGGAGGGGGGCCCGACCTCACCAGCCACATATAACCAGAACTTTGGTGGGCCGAGTTTCCACCTCCTCACACTCTCTGCCAGAAAGGGGAGCAGTACTTCAGAATGGGTGAAAAGATGGCTGTCTCTGTCCTCAAAAGAGAGAGCAAGCTTGCTCCTCCCCTATCCCCCTCAAGCCTCACACCTCATTTTTTGAACCCCTGGGCAGCCTTCCTTGGGGCCAAGAGGAGGCAGAACCAGAGCAATCTAGGATCTGCAGAAAGTCCTATGCAAACAGCCTGGGGCGCGAGGGGAGGGTTTGGGGGGCAGAGTGGGTAGGTTAGGGACAGAGGGCTGCAGTCGGAGGCTACTGCTCCTGCCCATCCCCGAGGTCTCAGCTCTTTGTCTATGGAGGGAGGAGCTGTGCTGTTAGGGTGGCTGGCTCGTCCCCAAACATTGCAAAGGGCTCCAGGCGTACAGTCTTGGTTACACCCCCATTACCACATAAATTAGAAAACGTGAGGCAATTCTTTTGTCATTAAGACACAAAGCAGAGCAGACCTTTTTTTTTCCACTGAGACTTTTTTTTTTTAACAAATAAGTCACCCACTCTGACTGCGAAGTATGAAAAACAAAACAAGCCAAAAACCTTATTCAAAGTTTGCAAAAGTCGCCTTGTAAGTTTCCTGTATCTCTAGCGGCGAGCTCCATTTCTGGCTCTGACTTGGATCCGGTGGCTCTCTGGTGTTCTTGCCTCTCCCCTTCCTACCCCGGGATGGTAGGAAGTGCTGGGCAGCGTCGGTCAGGGCACAGAGGATCCCTGAAGGAGTCCCGTCCGACTGATGCGAAATGGCCTGGCTAACTAAAGAGAGCCGCGGTCCGCACCTGCATCTGGACTTTTCCTTGCTCAAACACCTGAATTCAAGGAAAGTCTCGTTTGGAAAAGCTGCAAAGGGACTAAGGAGGTTCGGGGGAGAGAAGGCAGAGAAAGCCATTTATTTACCTCATGCTGGCTAGGGACTGGTCTGCAGCCGCTCTAGTCTCGGGGATTTCTTCTCCGTTTTTTTGACTACTCCTTCTCGCAGTTTCTTCGCTGGGAAAGTTACAGGCTTAATTGTTGGGAGTTTTGTTGTTGCTGCTGTTCTTGCCTTTTTATTATTTCTTCTTCTTATTGTTTGTTTAAAGTTGAGCAACGTGGAGAAAAACGGAAACCGGAAAGTGAGACTGCTTCCCAGCTGAACTGGATCCTGTTGGGGGGTGGGTGGAATCTGACGTGAGTGGAGAGAGCTCTGAGCTGAGGGCTGTTAGAGGCCCTGCTTCTCAGAAGAAACCCTCTCTTGCTGGAGTAAGTGTTCTGTTGCGAGCTTTTGCAGAAAGCTGATTGATTTCTCCCGAAATTTACAAGTATTGGATGGAGAAGGGATGTTGGGGAGAGTTGGTAAATAGCCTGGGGGCCAATCAACACCTGACTCAGCGAGTCCTAGTTTCACCTTCTGTATCTAAAGGCGAAGCCACGGAGACACCCTCTACATTTTGTGATTGGAATGGCTTTTCTCAGGAATGATGATGGATTTGAGTTGACCCAACCATAAATACCCAACCCTTTGTATCCTATAGTTATACAAAAATGAATGGCTGAAATGGTGTGCTTTTAGGTGGCTATGGAAAAGCAAGTTTTTTTTTTACTTTTAAAATGTTTTATTGATAGCTTTCGTTTTTACATCACCCTGATTTTCAAAGAAATCTCTCCTCCATCTCTTCCTCTGAGTGCCATCCCTCATTACAAATAACGGAGAAATAAAAACATTTCGGCAAAACACATAAACTAACTTGGCAGTATATGTCTTATTCAGAACCTGTGATCATGCCACTTCTGCAAAGAAGGGACTGAGGTATATTCTATCTCTCCCCCAGACCAAGCTTAGGCATTATTACACAGCTGTGGGGTTTTTTTTTCCAATTTTTCAACTTGCGTTTATATTGTGGCTAATTGTATATATTTTCCTGGGTCTGTTGATTTTACTTTGTATTAAGTTGAGTTTTATTTTTGTCACTGAAAAAGCAAACAGACTTTTTCTCTTTTCAGTGGAAAAGAGAAGGTTATTGCTGTTTGTCTTGCCAAGCTTGATATTAATAATTTTTTATGGCACAATAATCAACATTCCACTACATTTTTTCTGTTACATATTGCTCAATCCATGGTCATCAACTTTGTTTTCAGTCTTTGCTACTACAAAAAAATGTCACTTCAGCTATTTTGAGATACATGAGAACTTTATTTCTAACTTTGATCTACCTCCTTGAAGTGTATACCCAGCAGAAGGATCTCGGAGTTAAAAGATAATAAATTCATAGAATTAGAGCTGGAAAAGACATTTTCATCGAATCCCACTCCATCCTTTTATAATGAGGAAACTGAGGCCATAGAGAGCTTCCATGGCTTACCCAGGATTACATAGGTAGTGTCTTAGGCTGTATTTAAACTCGGATCCTTTGGCTCCCGATCCAGACTATGGGTATTTTAGTCTCTTTCTTAGAACAATTCCAAATTGTTTCTCAGAATGGGGCCGGGGGGGAGGGGAAGCAATTCAGAGATTCACAAATACTTTATTAGTGCACCTGCTTTTCCTCAGCGCCTACAACATTTGCCCTCAGAGGCATTTTGATTTGTGTTTCTCTTAGCATTAGTGATTCAGAACAGTTGTTAATATTTTGCCATTCTTTTGTGAACTGCTTGTTCATATCTTGACCGCCGGTCCATTAGGGGATGGTTCTTGGACTTAGACTTTTTTTAGTTTCCCACATGATATCATGGACCAGACCTTTGTAATCCTCTCTATTCTTTGTTTAGTTAAGGGTTTTCCCAATAGCCATGACTGAAATATACCTGATATGTTTTTCATACACCCCTAATGTGTGTAATGTGCTTTGTAAACATTAATGGGAACTATTATTATTAGCTAGGGGGAGGGAGTGTCATGGCACATCTCTGAAATTGGCATCTGCGTCTAGGTCTGTGTTATTCATTGTGCCACACACCTTTCCTGGCTTCTTCCACTTAAAGAAGACCAGATAATACCTACCCTGAATTCATAGAGCTTTTTTGGGAGGGCAGGGGAAGGGAAGGAAGAGAATTTCGTCAGCATTCTGCCTCAGGGGACCATTAGTACTTGGTAGTAGGTAGCTGTGCAGAATGTATCCAAGTTATGGCACCTGCCTGTCCTCAGAGAGCACAAAACTTTTGCATAGACTGGCCTGGAATAGATTTAGTGTAAGAAAACCAAACAAAATATTGGAGATAATGTGAAGAAAGTTCATTAGCCTCTATATCATAGATCCTGCATAGCAACCACATGAAAGGATGGGCCCTGTTTTTAAACAGAATCCTGCAATCTCTTAGGATTCACATTCTTGGAAAGAATTGGGCACCATCCCCCACCCTCCAGCAGTCTATACAGCTGTGATAAGCTCTAGGGGCAGCTGTCTTCACTGTTGCCTGGTAACAGCAGGCCTCATTTTTGAGCCTGGGGCCAAGAAGGAATCCAGAGGATACAGAGTGGAGGGAGGGAGGCAGTCCAGAGGCAGCACTAGTCAGATCCTGGGTTTTTTGTTTTGTTTTGTTTTGTTTCATTTTGGTCCCAGTTAAGCACACATTTGTTTTACTTAAGCAAAAATTAAAAAATAAAAGATTAAACATGTAACTAGCAATGACAATTAAACTAGCTGCTTAAAATTCCTCATCAAATACTTACAGTTCCTTTTGAAAAAGGACTTTCTGCATAATACTTTATAGGTCATTTAGTGCAGTTATAAATGTTACTGCACTGCTCAGTGCAGTGTATCTTCTCTTGGGTGCATTTCCCATTAAAATTTTAAAGATGAAGTGAATTGACTTTGCCTTTGTAATGGGGATGAGGAGAGGAGAAGAAAATAGTTTTTAAAATAAATTTTTATTTTTGTTTCTTTTTGTCATTCTATACTTAATGAACATCATCAAATATTAGCATT